AGCTGCTCGCGTCCTCCGAGCTCCCGAGCGAGCGGCGGCCCCGGGTGTCGCCGGCCGAGCACGGCTCCGGCTCCGCGGGCGCCGCGTCCTTTTTCGCCGCCTGCGGGATTCGCGGACCGCGGTACATGCATGTCCACTGGGGGCAGGTTTAATTTCGACGATGGAGGGTCGTACTGCGGAGGCTGGGAGGACGGCAAGGCGCACGGCCATGGCGTCTGCACCGGCCCCAAGGGCCAAGGCGAATACACCGGCTCGTGGAGCCACGGCTTCGAGGTGCTGGGCGTCTACACCTGGCCGAGCGGCAACACGTACCAGGGCACCTGGGCGCAGGGCAAGCGCCACGGCATCGGCCTGGAGAGCAAGGGGAAGTGGGTGTACAAGGGCGAGTGGACACACGGATTCAAGGGGCGCTACGGGGTGCGGGAGTGCACGGGCAACGGGGCCAAGTACGAAGGCACCTGGAGCAACGGGCTGCAGGACGGATATGGCACGGAGACCTACTCGGACGGAGGTAGGTGCGCGCGGAGGAGGGCCCTCCTCACTCGCCCCTCTGTTTATCTCGGGAAGTTGAGCCTTTCCTGTTGGGCCGCGGGCCGGGCTTTTCTCATGTGCCCTGGAGGCCTCAGCGGGCCCTGGCCACAGGTTGCCCGTGGTCTGGTGGGGGACGGGGCCCTGTGCCACTGGAAGGGGTGGGGGGCTTTACAGCAGCCAGCCAGGCCCGGGCCGCGGCACTGAGCCAGGCTGCCACACAGCACCAGGGAGCAGGCCAGAGACCTGCCCAAAAGGCCAGCCTGGGCCTGGCCGCCTCTGGCATCACCACAGGTGCAGGGGCTGGAGAGGAGCCCTCCGCGGCGCCCCCCCTCCTGTCGCTGGCCCCAGGCCCCAGCTGCCTCCTTGTTTTCCTGCGGTGCCCAGGGCCTCCCTAGTCCTGATCAGCCCAGGCCAATGAAGAAGGAGCACCTGGGAGTGCTAGAGGCGGGGGATGCCAACCCAACCAAACAGCAAGGCAGTAAACTTCTAGGTGGTTGGACGCGGGCGCTGCTGTCGCTGTCGAAGCAGCCTGCTGGCTGGAGGGAGGGAGCGAGGGAGGGAGGCCCATCTGTTAGCGAGCCGAGGAATCTCGACTTTCAGTGGCTGAATCATTTCACGGTTAGTTGAGGGAATTGCTCTGCACCTTCCTTGAAAGATGCTACCACATTTTGAGCAGAGCAGGTGCTGGAAGCCGGTGAGCTGCCTGGAAGACGGTTTCTAGGCAGGGAGCCTTTGCTGGCTTTGCAGCTGCCCCCCGTCTGGACACTCCAGTTTCCACTCCTGGGTGCACCCGGGTGTAGGCAGCAAACCCCAGTCTGACCGCCTGCCTGGAGCCTCCCCTCCTCCCTCTGGGTGGCTGGGTTATTTTTCAGGCATGGATGCCTGGGAAGGGAGTGAGACGCAGCAATGACTTGTGCTTCTGCTGGGAATAAAACCCCTGAGCGTGCGTGTGCTCCCCCTGCCTGCCTGCCGCCTCCCGGTCTCCGGCAGAAGGCTCTGAGTGTCCTCTCCCTGGCCACATCCAGGAGTGAGGAGGGCTGGCAAGTAATTATTATTTTGGCTTATGCAACTGAAAGGCAGGTTCGTTATTACCCAAAGAGGAGGCGGAGTCTGGGCAGTTAATTATATAATGCTCCTGCCTGCCGACTAGGCACCCGGGCCTGGTCCCAGGCGGCCTTTCTGTGCTGTTGTTTTCCTGGAGCAAGCTGGAGAGCTTCCCTGACCCTGGGGCCCTGCGGACCGAGAGGGAGCAGACGTGGCCCTCCCTTGGCTCCAGGCGTGGGCTCCTGTGTGTGCGCGCACATGTGTGCGTGTGCATGCGCGCATGTTGTGTGGTGTGCCCCCATGCCTGCACACGCAGGGCTGGCGAGGCAGCAGTTGTGGGTGGCAGCCTGGCACTCACAGCTGGGCTTCTTGGGTGCTGGGCAGTTGTTACCTCAGGGCTCTGGCTAGGCTGCCCACAGAGCTGCCCTCTGGAGGGTTCCCAGCCGCGTGGGCTCCGTGCAGGCCAGACCAGCCCCTCCTCAGCTCTGTGCAACTCCCGGAAGTGTGGGCGCCGGCATGCACCACCCTCCTGACAGCTAGCTCCCTTGGCCTCTCCTGGCTTGATTCTGCTCATTTCACAGGCATGGGTCATGAGGCCAGGGATCCATGTGGGCCTGGCCCAGGGGTGCAGCTGGGGTGGCAGAGCCCCTATCTGCTTGGGACCACGCCCCTCAGGGCCACCCTGCTTGCCTGGAAGGAGCCGTTTGCCTTTTCCCTTTCCAGGGGTTGTGTTCTCAAGTCTTTTTTTGTTTGTTTGTTTGTTTTTTCTCCGGTACCGGGAACCAAACTCACGACCTTGCACTTGCCAGGCAGGCGCTTTGCCACTGAGCTAAATCCCCAGCCCCTCAAGTCTTACTAGGTAGGCCGAGGCTTTGAGGAGCCGCACTCTCTCGTGGAGGGTGACAGCGTCAGGCAGAATCGAGTGGACCCCTCTGGCCCTGGGTTATCAGGCCAAGTCCTTTGGGGCCACTTTCCCAGACAGCCTCAGGGCTCACTAGGAAGCAGTGACTGCTGGGAACTTGGGGTCCTGGGCAGCCCCTGTGCTGTCCACGGTGGGGTACAGTCACTGGCAGAGCAGGACAGGGCCTCAACTCCCTGTCCCCTCCTCACCTTGCGGGCAGCAAGGGGTCCCGGGTGAGGGCCTCCTGAGGAAACGGCCAAGCCGCAGCCCAGCTTTTCCTCCGCACAGGAGGTGGGAATGTGGGGCAGGAGTCTGCAGAGCCCCCGAGCTGAAGCCCGGCTCCCAGTGCTGACTTGGGGAAACGGCAGTTGCCATGAATAATGCACGAGCAGCAAGTGTGGTCCACATTTAGCTGGAATTGGTATGGAATCCATTTCAACTGGGGACACTTCTGCCATCTCCTCCAGCTTACCTGGCCCTGGGCCGGCAGGCGCCGCTCTTGCTCTCAGTGTGAGCTCCCCGTGTGCAAGGGGAGCCCTGGACCTGGGTGGTAGAGCACACGCTGCCTCCCAGGTGGCTGCCTGGCCTTGGATGCTGGCCCGGCCATCTCTCCACCCTGTGACCTTGCACAAGTTACTGAATCTCCTGGCTTCCGTTTCTCCCTCCTTACAAAGGGCTGTGAAGCGGGGAGGCTTAACTGAGGATAGAGTACATGGCTCTACCAGGAGTACAGTAGTGTGGTTTGCTATTTATCGTGGTTTTTATTACTACAGTTCACATGCAGTAAGTGTCACAGTGATCACTAGAACTCATAGCCAGGGCGACGGTGGTGATCATACATACCAGGGATGTTAAGTGGCAGCATTGACTCCTGCGTGCCACGCATGTGGCGTGTGCGCATGAATTACAGTGCTAAGCTCTTTCGCCTCAAGAAGGCTGAGTCCATTGTTCCCATTTCTACCCCAGGAAGTGGAGGCTTGGAGCAGATGGCTTTGGGCAGAACTAGACACACTCAGCATGGGGACTCCAGAGTCAGCTCCCTGGAAACTCACTTGTGCAGAAGCACCCCTGTTATTTCCTCTTCTTCCACATCCTTGTTTTCTCTGGGGTGCAGAACCCCAAGCTGTAGTCAGATGCATGGGTGCAGATATGCAGACCCCGCTTGGCCAACCCTAGCCCTGGGGGCCTGGGGTGCCTTTCCCTCCTCTGTCACTGGGCCCCTGCGCTTTGCCCCACAGGTGAACATGTCCTCCCGCGGCTGTGGATACAGAGCCCCTTGGACTGAAAGTTGCCGGCTCAGATAAGCCCTCCCACATCCCGAAAGGTATGAGTCATCTCACACCCTGGCCTCTCCCTGTCATGCGCGGTCCTGTTCACCGGCCCGGATTCCTCAGCCCACACAGATCACACACGCCCACAGCCAGGACCCAGCCCCACCCAGGCACTGAGCGCCTGGGCACGCACACGCACAGTGCACCTGCCACCCGCAGGCAACTTTCATCCCGTCCCCCAAAACAGCTGCGTGCACCCTCCTGGCTTTGCGTGCTCCCCTGCCGCCAAGGGCTCTGGGTCTCTGCCAGCCCGGTGCACCAGGCATTCAGGTGACAGGGGCAGTGGCGGGCTTTGTTTTCATTTCAAACACGTGTTCACGCTGTTGACGCCTTGAAGGGAAACAAAACCTCTCACCTGTGTCGGCGCCTCTGGGCATATTTTTGGTTCTTGCGGGGGACTGTGGGAGACCCTAGAATCTGGATGTCCAGGTTAGGGGGAAGCAGGTCCCCACATGGATGTTCATTTCAGAAGCAGGAGTGAGCCCCGCTCCTGGAGATAAAGGCGCTTTCCTGGAGATTCTCTTTCCGCCACTTGGGGGCTCCGTGAGGCGAAGGGAGGCTCAGCTAAAGCCGCTTGGCGGCCCCTCCACTGGGAGACTGTCGAGAGCTGAGAGGGAGTCCCCAGGGTGGTCGCTGAGGGGCCCCGCCAAACCCTGGCCGCCTCTTCTCGGAGGGCATGGTGGGGCGAGGGGGACCCTGGGAAACATGGTGGCTGGGTGGGGAGCAGGAACACCTGATATTCTCCCTCAAGTCGTCTCTGTTCCTCAGTTTCCCCAGGTCTCCCCAACTCTCAATACAGTTAGCCGTCAGCCCCCCACTGGTAACTGTATGCAAGGCCCTCGGTGTCCTTAGAGATGAAGAGCTGTGTAGATTTGTGCGTGCTGGAAGAAAGGCAGTGCTGGTGTCAGTTTTCCGCCGCCGCCGTCCAGCGTGCAGTCTCCCGGTTCCTGGGCCGCTGGAGCCGCCAGAGCCGCCGGGCGCTCCGGGCAGGCGCAAGGCTGCCCTTCAGCACCACGGAGAGCGCCACCGCCCCGTCGCCACGCTTCGGCTCAGACGCCCGGCCTCCCGCCGCAGCCGCCTCTCCGTGGCGTGGCGTGGTGTGGCGCGGCGCGGCGTGGCGCGGCATGGCGTGCCTCGCTCACCTGCTCTTCCTGACCCCCTGCAGAGCCTCGGTGAAGTGGCCCAGCCAAGAGAAGTGTCCCCAAGGCCATGTGCGGCAGGCGTGGAGTGGCGCGGCGCGGCGTGGCGTGGCGCTGGCCGAGCTCCCCAACCCTCGGTGCGAGCAGCGTGCCCGGCCCCGCTTTGTCGGTGCGTGGGCTCCGCACTGAGACACGCCGCCGCTCCGGCTTGCCGTTGTCTTTTCTGAAAAGCAGAGCGCCTGCCTGGGCCGCGCCATCTCCTGGCCGCCTGGAGAGCGGAGAGGCAGAGAGAGCCTGGGGAGCCGCTGAGGGTGCAGCGTGCGGGCCGTGGGTTCGGGTCCCAGGAGTGCAGCGAGGGCAGCGTCAGCACAGGCGAAGGAGCAGCCTTGTCTGTGGCATTTTGTCTCCATCTGCTTTACTTCGGCTGGCGGCAGGGATTAATCAACGAGCCCCTCCCTGCCAGCCACTGGCCACAGGTAACTATTTAGATTCAAGTTTAAAGTGAAATAAAGTTTAAGTAGTTGGGCATGGTAGCTTACGCATGTAATCCCTGCATTTGGGAGGC